GTTGTGTTCTCTTTCTTCTTTTTTTCAGCATGGAATAAACCTATTACTTATTCTAAATTTTAGTTTGTAAAAGCTGGAAACTTGGGCATGGAGTTTGGTTTCAGGCATGTGTATGTTTTCAGATCGATCTATCCGGCTTTCCAGAGCAGGTGCTGTATATCAGGAAAGGTTAGTGTCTTCCTGTACACTGAAAGATGTCAGTGTTGTAATTCCAGGACCAGGAAACTCGGGAGCAAAGCTTGTGAACGCTCTTCTGCCAATAAATGTAAAAGTGTGTGTGTTTGCGGTGGTATACAACCACGCAGCAGAGGGCGGTAGTTATAATGACAGCGGGACAGAAATCAGCAGGGTCATGACTGTAAACGCCCATTATGAGGTAATGCAAACATTTATTTTTTAAACATTTAAAATGCATGTACTCCACTTCAACAATTCCAGCATGAAACAGAAGAAACACTTTTTTTAGTAAATAGAAAAAATGTTCAGATTACCTGCCTACCTACATGCTGTGCGAAATACTTTTGCTAGGATTGTTTCTCTTAACTTTGTTACAATTTGTAGCCTGTGTGGCTCTTTTCACTTCTGATAGGAAAGGAATCACCTCATTTATTAGACTGGCTTATTAATCACCTGAGTGTACAGTATGTCCCCAAAAAATACATCTCTTTCATTATATTTAAACACTTTTGGATGTTAAGGAAGAGTCTTGCATCACCAAGACAAGCCTGATGGTAAATTTAAAGGTTTTCTAGAGTTTGGCCTTTTTGTCAACGGATAAAAATGCTCATTTAAACTCTGCAAACAAGGAGGGTTATTTACAAGAAATTTAGAGAAAAGTGTTTATAAAAAAACAGAAATGAACATTTCACATAAATCCCCCGGATTAGACAATTCAGTTCCAATGAAACATGACACAGTTCTACTGGATTTGAAAGACAGATTTACAAGACTAATTACAAGATTATACAGAAATGTGTTAAATAGCAGATAAACCTTTTTATTTGAGAGAGAAAAATGGCTTTAAGGTCCTCCGAGGAGCGAAGGTTTTCCGTGTTTGCTAAGCGCACAATCTTACAGGAAGCGGAATGCGCAGAAATTCCAGGCTGGCGAGACCAGGCTACTCTGGCAGCAGGTCGTCACCCAGCTCCTCGTCAGCAAACTCGTCTTCCTCGCTCCGCTTCTTGGCGGCTGTCTTGGGCCTTTCCGTCTGAGGACCGAGGGGGTCAACATAGGAGGCATCTGATAAAACAGATCAGCACAACCCTGTTAGTCACCATGTTCACACTTGCAGTAAAATACAATGAACAGTTTGTTTGACCAATTTCCACACAATTATAATCTGTTAATCGAATTCCCATTTCACTTAAAAAACAAATCTTATTTTCTAAAAATAGCATATCATTTTATGAATTGAGAAATTACAGACTAATACAGTACACGTACAGATGTTTTAAAATCTATTATATGACTTTTCATTAAGCATCCACAAAGTGCCAACGTCTTGGTAGCTTAATGCACAGAACTGAAAAACAGCCCAGTCGTCTTAATGCGAAACAAATAGTTTCTGAATTGGAGTGTAAAGTGGGTTTTAGTTCAATGGCAGTGTGTTTATGGGAAATGCTGTAAAACGGGGACTGAATGATTAAAACAAACATGCAGATAAAAACACAAA